CCCCCTGCCACAATATGCCGAAGGCCCAGGAAGTTGTCTCACTAACAAGGCAGTCCCAATGTCCGGATCGGATGCGGAAACAACTTTACTTTACAAGTATGTGGTTTGAAATGGATAAACCGGATTCGTAATTGTCTTTACAAGTATGTGGTTTGAAATGGATAAACCGAATTCGCAATTGTGAGCTTGCGGGTTCAAGGGTCCGAGGTTCAGCCCGGTCTGACGTTGTGTTCCTGAGACATGCACTTTTCACGAAATTTCCCATTTTGCCCAGTCCAATTTAAGATGGACACTTAATTCGGAAGCCTTATCTCTGGAAAAATCACCCATCCGTGTTGCTAGGGGCATTAAACATACAATTTCAAATATACAGCGAGCAGTTCATGCACCAGGACACAGCAGGCGCTCGTCAGTTTTGGGGAAATGGAATTATTGGGTTTTTATCTTAAAATCTGTTTATTTTCCGTACTTTTGATGGAAAAAAAAATACAATACCTAAAACTATCTTGATTAGAAGTTGAGATATGTGTGATTGAAGCAGGTGAGGTTTGCATGGTGTCAGAGCTAACATTTGGGAGATAATAGCCGCCGGCAAAGTTTGGTCACTTATAAAGCTTGAGCGTCCTTGGGAACTCCAAATCTCCGATTTTCCTGCTTTTGATCAATATTTTTCAGTAAAATCTACATAGATAACATGTCTTTTAAAATGACCATAAACAAGTTGATCCACACCCCCTTAAAAAATGAATAAAAATTAGAAAAAGAGGCAATAAGATTTGCCATCGGCCCCCCAAAAAATATGAATGTCAATTTTTTTTCCACTTCAGAATTTTGACAAGCTCTTGCCGATTTCACAACAATGCCTCACATTATCTGCACAACTCCGTTGCAGTTGGCTCTCCCCTGTCCCACATGATAACATCTACATAGTAGACACGAAGTGGGTAATAAAGATAGGAGGCAGTTAATCATGTATGCATAATTCTGTCTCAGTTCGGGGAAGAGAGGGAGGGGGGGGGATGCATGTGCTGCACGGTTGGCTATAAGGTCAAAAGGTCCCCCCCCCCCTCCTCCTCTCAATTTCCCACATGATAATATCTGCATGGTAGACTCGGTGTGGGTCGAATAGATACTTGCACTTAATTAGGTATGCATAATTCTGTCTCTCTGTCTTGACCTGGGCCGTTGATGTTTGGTGACAAGTCAAAATCAAATGTCAAACTACCCGTTTACTCCTCCCCCTTCTCTCATTTCACCAAACAATAACATCTACTTGGTAGACCTGATGTTGGTATAATGCACTGGTGTCAGATAATTCTGTACGCCTAATTCCTTTTGGGGAGGGAGGGGGGAGGGGGAGTGTGGTTCGTGTTGGGCTTTTGGGCCCCTTTTACAGGTCACAAGTTAAACCACACCCCGGCCCCCCTCTCTCCCGCCTCCTTTCACCTTCTACCTTCCTCAAATCTTCTCCCTCCCTAGTGCCCCATCCCCTGCTTACTCCACCCCTCCCCCTCTCCCTCTCCCTCACCGGCGCCCCTCCCCCTCCTCACTATATTCAACCTCCTCCTTCCCCCAATCCCCCACACAGTAAAGTCTACACCCCCCCCCCCACCGGGGGCGGTGCCACAGACCGAAGTGTATTTAGGCCATTCCCAAAGGGGGGGACATTTCTAGGGCTTATGCACAGTAGAATTGTAAATGGGCTGATTCAACAATGTCATGCTTATAACAGTGCCTGAACTACAACAGGGAACTGCTGCTTTTTCTTTCCTAACCCTTACTATCGTCATTTTCCTCTACTTCTTTTGTATGTTTGTCACTTTCTTGTTACCCGCTATTTCCGGGTGCCTTGAAAGTCGAAACAGACTGTGTGCTGTTGACGCTAGAGAGGTGAGCAGAGTAAGCCTGATTCCATATAAAAACTTCTCTGGTGACATCCACCCCTTGGCGCTCATATGACCTTATGCAGTTGCGAGCGCCGTAAAAACTCTGCTTAATAAAGAAGATGGTCTACATGGTCGACTCTGTCTTATGACTGGGTGTCGTCGTCGTCGTCTCACTAACAACTTCCAGTACCCTCCCCTGATCTCTCCTCGCTGTCTGCTCTCCGTTGCCAGGGGTAACGATGGCGTCTCTGGGTACGTAGGAAGAGCCTCGCTGGCATTTTGCCCGGCTGCCCAGAGCCCCTGACGTCACAGGTTTGCCGGGTGGTGCTTCCGGTCGGGGGTTTGCCTGGCCGGCTGGCCCTTGCCGGCTGCCGGAACTGACGGGGAGTGACGAAGGAAAGATCTTGTTCTTCTCCCTGCAGCATGAGATGTTCCTGAAGATTTGTACATAGCCTGGAGAAAAAAAAATGGTGAAAAAAATGGTGAAACGGTATGGAATGGTTCGGGTTTAACGTCTCTATCAACACTATCAAGCTATTTAAGAGGCGGGACCTCCGAGTTTAACGTCCATCACCGACGTGACCGAGCCAAATGGGAACTTCCCTCTAAGCGCCTTTCCCAAGGACACAACGTCGGACCGAGCTGAGGCTCTAATCCCCGAACCCGCAACCTCACGATTATCAGTCTGGTAGCCTAACTACTAGACCACCGACGCCATTCCGTAGCCTGGGAGAAATACAAAGCAAAACAAAATAAAAAACAAACTATTAGACAAACAAGCTAAGACAAAGGGGAAAAAGACACGGTCTCTGGTGAGAAGGTTAAGCTCATTCACTGTTTCATACGAAAGACATGATTTCAATTTCCAGGACGGAGTATCTGCTGTTTCTTTACGCATCACAACCCCCCCCCCCCTCACTCCTTTCCCAAACAAGACAAAAAACCCCACAAAAAAAACAACAACCATCAAAACAAACAAAAGAAGCAACCCGAAACAAGACTTACATAAAACAAAAGTTGTCTTGTACATTTTCTGAATTTTCTTGTTTTGAAGTCCGTTCTCAATATAGTTGCCTTTATGCCCTCAACGACATAGTTTTACATCACTAACATCTGTGTCAGACTGGTCCCACTCAGCCTTGCTTCACAGTCACAGAAAGGGTTACAGTGGCCCGTCCTTCAATTTGACCCAACTTGTTTAGATAAAGGTGGAACATTTTCGCGTATTGCCATGAATGTTTATATTGAACTACCCATTAGTGAACTTATTTTCTACCAGTTTTTTCCTATAAAAAAAGGGGGAACAATAACAAAACAAAAGTAGAAACAAAAAAGTAACAATCACACACA